GGATTACAGGCCGTGAGCACCGCGCCCCGGCCTCTATTTTTTGCTAGGAGATGGGGCTCTCACTTGTGCTCAGGCTGCGTCTCGAACTCTCTATGCTCAAACAGTCCAATCCGCCTCAGCCTCCCAGAATGCCATTACAGACGTGAGCTACAAAGCTCCGGCGCAAAACATTTTATTTGTTGAAATAATGAAAAAAAAAGAAAGGGAAGGAAGGAAAGGACAAGAAAGAAGAAGAAGGAAAGAAGGAAAGGAAGGAGGGAGGCGTAGGGGGGGAGCGGAGGAGTGGAGGGGGAGGGGAAGGGCGTTTGAGGTGAGGAAGGAGGGAAGGGAGGAAGAGGACTAAAAAAAAAAAAAAAAAAAAAAAAAAAAAAAAGAAATACTAGACCTAGATAAATAAGGATTTATTCAGTCTAAAATTCTAGCACCATAGTAGCATAAAGTCAGGGATTCTCTCAATCTAAGGAGTAGGCTTTGAGGAATCTCTGAACTTTCTGAAATAGCATGCAACATTTTAAACGTGTGCATTCATTTGAAGAGGGGATACAGAGCTTTTCTAAGATGTTCAAAGAGGCCTATGACCCCATCAAAGTTAAGAACCACTACATTAAAGAAGTATCTTGAAGAAATTTAACTAAGACCTCATACAAATTAATAAGAAAACCACTAAAATTGCAAAAGATAAGCAAAGGATATCTCAAAAAAGGTAAAGTAAAACATGGAAAAAACTCAGAAGTAATATAAGGAATGCAATCAAAACAATGATATCATATCTCATCTATCCAGATGACAATTTTTTTAAAAAGATATACTTGATGTTGGGGAGGATACAGTGAAATGGGCACTCACTAATGGGACATAAACTGTTATTATAAAAAGTGGCAATCAGGCACAGTGGCTTACACCTATAATCCTAGCACTTTGGGAGGCCAAGGGAGGAGGATCACTTGGGGCCAGGAGCTTAACCCCTTGCACTCGGATGTCGAGTCACACAAAAAGTATAGAGATTAAAATTACTCTTTGAATGTATCAATAATGTGAAATATAAAAAAATCCAAATAAATAAGTTTGTATGAAAAGAAAAGAAACTCCAGTTTTTTATTCTACTGCCACGCTTTGTAAAATCTGGGGTATTTCAAAAATTAAATCCCAAGTAGAACAAAGGAATCGAGAAAAAAGCAAGTGAGTGCAAAGGGTTAAGACCAGCCTGGGAAACATAGCAAGATCCCTTTCTCTAGCTACAAAAACTAAAACAAACAAACAAACAAACAAAAAAAAAAAACTAAAAGCTTATCTGGGCATGGTAACATGCACTTATAGTCCTACCTACTCAGGAGGCTGAGGATTACTTCAGCCCAGGAATTCGCAAGTTGCAGTGCACTATGACTATGCTACTGCACTTAAGCCTAGATGACAGCATAATATCCCATCTCTTAAAAATAAAAAAAGGAGGCCGGGCGCTGTGGCTCACGCCTGTAATCCTAGCTCTTGGGAGGCCGAGGCGGGCGGATTGCTCAAGGTCAGGAGTTCAAAACCAGCCTGAGCAAGAGCGAGACCCCGTCTCTACTATAAATAGAAAGAAATCAATTGGCCAACTGATATATATATATATATATATATAAAAAAATTAGCCGGGCGTGGTGGCGCATGCCTGTAGTCCCAGCTACTCGGGAGGCTGAGGCAGTAGGATCGCTGAGCCCCGGAGATTGAGGTTGCTGTGAGCCAGGCTAATGCCGTGGCACTCACTCTAGCCAGGGCAACAAAGTGAGACTCTGCCTCAAAAAAAAAAAAAAAAACATGTTAATGATATGAGAAATCATTTATGACCAGTTATACAAAACTAAATACACTTTGATCTCAGCTATGTTAAAATAAATATGTATGGTATAAAGTACTAGAAGCAAATATACCAAAATGTTAATACTATAGTGGTTTTCTATGGAAGGTAGTATATTGGGACAGAAATGAATGCCATTTTCTTTTTCTTACTCTTCTATATTTTCAATTTTTCCACTGAGCATGCATCATAACCATTCATTCATTTACTATTTTGTGGGGTTTTTTTAAAAAAAGAAATTTAAACAGTACATGGCAAATCATTTAAACAGTACAGAATGGCATTGATGAAATGTAAGCTCATCTCCAAAAGCAACCAATTAACATTTTTCTTAGGCATCCTTATAGAAACTAGATACACATTATTTTCATAACCAGAAAAGGTTAAGATACACCCAAAATATACCTAGTATTCTTAATTGTATTCAGAACTAACTTTCATTGATTTACCTAAATACTGTTGCATAAGCAGAATTTCCTTTTATTTAATTCATTCATTAATTCATTTCTTTATTTTTGAGAAAGTGTCTTACTCTGTCACCTGGGCTAGACTGCAGTGGCACGATCATAGTGCTCACTGCAACCTCAAACTCCTGGGCTCAAGCGATCTTACTGCCTCAGCCTTCCAAGTTGCTAGGACTAAAGGTGGTCACTAACACACGCCTGTAATCCTAGCACTCTGGGAGGCTAAGGTGGGAGGATTGCTTCAGGCCAGGAGTTCAAGATCAGCCTTAGCAAAAGCAAAATCTCATCACTACAAAAAATACAAAAATTATACGCAGCTCGCCTGTAGTCCCAGTTACTCAGGAGGCTGAGTCAGGAGGATCACTGGAGCCTAGGAGTTGAAGGCTGCAGTAAGCTATGACACTACTGCACTCTAGCCCAGGTGACAGAGCAAGACTTTGTCTCCAAAAAAAAAAAGGAAAAAATTCTTTTGTAGATAAAATGTTGACCATCCTGGTTGTGAACTCCTGACCTCAGGTGATTCCCCCTGCCTTGGCCTCCCAAAATACTAGGATTACAGGTGTGAGCCACCAAGGTGGCCTTATATTTTTTGATTTATTTATTTATTTTTTTGAGACACAGTCTCGCTATGTTGCCCAGGCTAGAGTGAGTGCCGTGGTGTCAGCCTAGCTCACAGCAACCTCAAACTCCTGGGCTCAAGCGATCCTCCTGCCTCAGCCTCCCAAGTAGCTGGGACTACAGGCATGCACCACAATGCCCAGCTAATTTTTTCTATATATATTAGTTGGCCAATTAATTTGTTTCTATTTATAGTAGAGACGGGGTCTCCCTCTTGCTCAGGCTGGTTTTGAACTCCTGACCTCAAGCAATCCGCCTGCCTCGGCCTCCCAGAGTGCTAGGACTACAGGCGTGAGCCACCACGCCTGGCCTATTTTTTTGTTTTAGACACAGGGTCTGCCTCTGTCATCCGAACTGGAATGCAGTGGCACTCTGAACTCCAGGGGTCAAGCAATCCTTCTATCTGGGTCTCCAGAGTTGCTGGGATTATAGGCATAAGTCACTGCACCAGAAAGAAATAGAATTTCTTTCTATTTGCTTTAAAACTACTATCAAACTCAAGGGGTGCTGTTTCTCTATTGATAATATCCTTGAGGCTCTGTACAGCTGAACCGTATCCTTTACCTTCCTAATTTTTTTAAAAAAAACTATTTTTAATTATTATGGGTATACAATAGTTGTATATATTTATAAGATACATGGGATGTTTTGATATAGGCATACAATATAAATAAATCAAATCAGGATAACTGAGGTTATTCATCTCCTCAGGCACTTATTACTTCAGTTAGGAACATTCTGATTCTACTATTTAATTATTTTAAAGTATACCCTAACTTATTGTTGATTATAGATCTTCCTAGTTTTATACACTTCAATCACATTCCCTTATGACATTCCAGACTGTATTTGCAGATGCCATTTCTTCTTTTGACCCTAAAAGCTCTATTTTCACTTGTCCATCTCTAAACCTTCTTGAACTGTAAAACCATCAATAGAAGATGTCATATGCAGACGATTTCAAACATAAGTACAGAAACAATGAATAATTTTATTTCTCAAACACAGACAAAAGCTGTAACCCCTGGAAATCAAACCACCATGTGACCTGAAGAAGACTGTTTTAGAAATGCTTGCTTTAAACTTTAAATTTTATCAGTGTAAAACTATGTAAAAATATGGATGCATATAGACAATAACCAGAATCAATGATGTAAAGATGAGAATAACTTCTAAATCTGGGTATTAATTTCTATTTCTGTTTTATAATTTGTAAAAAGACAAAGCAAAAAAACTTTAAAAACCTGGCAAGAGTTGTTTGGAAGATGAACTTTTACCATTCATCTGCTAGCTTTCTTAGGTGTTATAGCAAACCCTACCTACCTAATGCATATTTTAATAATTAATATATTGATTTTATATATTTAAAATTTTAAATTGTTTCACATTTTAAAAAATTTTTTCTTAATAGAAACAGGGTCTCACTCTTGCTCAGGCTAGTCTGGAACTCCTGACCTGAAGTGATCCTCTTGCCTCGGCCTCCCAGAGTGCTAGGATTAGAGGCATGAGCCACTATGCCCAGACAATAGTGACTTTTAAAAGTATGAAAAACAGGCCGGCGAAGTGGCTCACGCCTGTAATCCCAGCACTCTGGGAGGCCGAGGGGGGAGGACTGCTCAAGGTCAGGAGTTCGAAACCAGCCTGAGCAAGAGCAAGACCCCGTCTCTACTATAAATAGAAAAGAAATTGATTGGCCAACTAATATATAGAGAAAAAATTAGCCGGGCATGGTGGCGCATGCCTGCAGTCCCAGCTACTCGGGAGGCTGAGGCAGCAGGATCGCTTAAGCCCAGGAGTTTGAGGTTGCTGTGAGCTAGGCTGACGCCATGGCACTCACTCTAGCTTAGGCAACAAAGTGAGACTCTGTCTCAAAAGAAAACTATGAAAAACACATTAATAAAGAATGGACATTTTATAAAATAACCATTGTTTACCATAGGACCAATCTGCATCTTAACTCTGGTATGGATTGCAGAAAGAAGCTAGACAGTACAATCTGTTCAAAATCCACAGTAAAATAAGCTAAGAGAGACAAATAAGACTGTACCAATACATCCCACAGAAATGTGATTTTTTGATGGTACCTTTGTCCTTCTTGAAATCCAGTGCATCTTGTTTATCTGTGACAATTTCCTTCATGTTAACAACACTTCGATGGATTAACTGACGAAGGATTTTGATCTCACGAATGGCTGTGATTGGGAAGCCCTCTTTCTCATTGTCTAGTCTCACCTTCTTCAGAGCCACTAGTTCTCCTGCCAAAACAAATTCAAACCATAATCATTATCAATTAGCATTTTTTGTCCACCATCAAGAACTGGCTTAATGCCTACTTTAATGCTTATATGCCAGATACTTTTATGTCTTTAAAAAAAACCTTTATGTTCCGTTTCTTGTTATTGATTTTTTTTTAAGCCTTACAGTTAATTTTTAATTCAACATTCAGTTGAGGCCGGGCACAGTGGCTCACGCCTGTAATCCTAGCACTCTGGGACACTGAGGCGGACGGATTGCTCGAGATCAAGAGTGTGAAACCAGGCTGAGCAAGAGCGAGACCCCATCTCTACTATAAATAGAGAGAAATGAATTGGACGACTAATATATATAGAAAAAATTAGCCAGGCATGGTGTCGTATGCCTGTAGTCCCAGCTACTCGGGAGGCTGAAGCAGGATTGCTTGAGCCCAGGAATTTGAGGTTGCTGTGAGCTAGGCTGATGCCACAGCACTCACTCTAGCCCGGGCAACAAAAGCGAGACTGTCTCAAAAAAAACAAAAACAAAAACAAAAAAAAATTCAGTTGAACCTAAAAGTTTGAGATTATTGAATATACCAGTAATTCAAATACTTCATTTTATCTTCAAAGACTTCCCTCACCCTCACCAAACAAATAACAACCTACAAGTTTTAATTTTAGCCTATCTTAAAATTCCCAGCAAGCTATAAAATGTTTAGAATGAACAACAATAAAGAGTAGGATTTTAAAACAGCAAAAATTATGCTATTCTTTTGGAAAACTTTATTCTATTTAATAACTTTGGAGACCAAATTAGAACTTAAAATTTACTTTTGCTAAATCACTTGGAATATTAGAATTGCTAAATTGTTAACCTTCTTACATCTAGAATTTTGTGGCAATATTTACCTGTGTCTTTGTCCTTGGCTTTATATACTTGGCCATAGGTTCCCTCTCCAATAATCCCAATAATGTCAAACTTGTCCACACAGCGTTTCCCCCAGTCGCTTTCGGTTTGTCTTCTTTCTCCATAACGAGGACAACAAATTCTAAAAATAAAAAGAAAAAAGTTATTTTTAAAAATTAAATCTAAGCCGGGCGCAGTGGCTCACGCCTATAATCCTAGCACTCTGGGAGGCTGAGGCAGGCGGATTGCTCGAGCCAGCCCCTTCCCCTAGAGTAAGAGCTTTAAGCATGTCCATCCCCCAAACGTGCACTCTTACTCGTGTGGTTGTATATACCCTCCCCTCCTCCCCCTTCCCACCCTCCCGACACCCAATAAATGTTACTCCTATATATCCACTTAGGTGTTGATCCGCTAATACCAATTTGCTGGTGAGTACATGTAGTGCTTGTTTTTCCATTCTTGAGATACTTCATTTAGTAGAATGGGTTCCAGCTGTATGCAGGACCAATTTTTTAAATCATCTCAATTTACTTATAAGGACGAATTTTATGCTATGCACATCCTCATCAAAGACAGACACCTACAGTACAACATGCTACTTTGTGCCTCCAAATAAAACCAGGCTAGAAAGTAGTAGGTCTTTTCTATTCCTTCACAGTATCTGAGGGTTGAAAAGATTAGAATCCATAAACCACATGGCCTCCTCACTTGTTGACAGTTAGTGTAAAAAATAGGTGCTTTGGCCGGGTGCGATGGCTCACGCCTGTAATCCTAGCACTCTGGGAGGCTGATGCGGCGGATAGCTCAAGGTCATTTTCGAAACCAGCCTGAGCAAGAGCAAGACCCCATCTCTATAAAATAGAAAGAAATTAATTGGCCAACTAAAGAAAAATTAGCCGGGCATGGTGGCACATGCCTGTAGTCCCAGCTACTCAAGAGGCTGAGGCAAGTAGGATTGCTTGAGCCCAGGAGTTTGAGGTTGCTGTGAGCTAGGTGATGCCACGGGACTCTCTAGCCCAGGCAACAGAGTGAGGACTCTGTTCTCAAAAAAAAAAAAAAAAAAAAACGTAGGTGGTTTGCACAATTATTTCCTAGAACATATAAGAACAGATTATCCTTGTAATGTATCTTTTAAAAGCATAAGCTGCTTTTTTTTTAGGATAAATTATAGCTTTCCCATAAAAAGATATGTCATTATTCAATATAATAAAGACAGGACTGGCAAGAATTGTTGAAAATTGTGATATATCCCACTCACTTCAGAGGCTGGAGGGAAGGACACTTGAGACTCAGGAGTTTATAGCCTGTAACAATTGAAATTCTACTAGCAACAAAAAGAAATGATACTGGATACACACAATATGAATGAATCTGAAAGCATTATGTTGGCTGGGCGCGGTGGCTCACGCCTGTAATCCTAGCACTCTGGGAGGCCGAGGGGGCGGATTGCTGAGTCAGGAGTTCAAAACAACCTGAGCAAGAGCGAGACCCCTCTCTACTATAAATAGAAAGAAATTAATTGGCCAACTAATATATAAAAAAATTAGCGGCATGGTGGGCATGCCTGTAGTCCCAGCTACTCGGGAGGCTGAGGCAGGAGGATCTTGAGCCCAGGAGTTTGGGTTGCTGTGAGCTAGGCTGAGCCACGGGACTCACTCTAGCCTGGTCAACAAAGGGAACTCTGTCTCAAAAAAAAAAAAAAAAAAAAAACAGCCTGCACCATATAACAGATGGTGTATCTTTAAAAAAATAAATAAATAAATAAACACAAATCTCATGAGCACTTCCTACTAATGTTTTTTTTATTAAGTTCTGTAAATCACCACAAACAAACTCTAGGTTCAGTTTTATCACATAAACAGATGAGGATAGTAATGGGGCACAAATAATATTGAAACTTTCTGCTGAAATACTGGTGGGGATGAACACAGCTACCAGATTGATATTATTAATCTGCAACTCAGATTTTTTACACTGGGACAAAGCCTAATACCGAAAATGCCTGAGTGAGGATACAAATAGATTTTAAATTCTCTGATTTTTAGATTTAAGGAAGGAAATTATAATTGCTCACATACTAATATTCAATATTCTGTAGATTCTCAATTTCTCATGATTCAGGAATAGTATTTCTTCGGCTGAGCTTCCTCACAAGAGGAGAAAACTCAAAGTATCTGATTAGTTACCATCATTTCAAGTAAATTCTCGATTTTTATTTTAGTTTTTTATTTATAAATTATATATGGGTATACAGTTCTCTTCTTTAGCTGATGTATCCTTACGAAATGCTTCGGACTATATGTAAAATTCTTACATTTTTTCAGTTTTTGAATATTTGCTTCTATACAGTTGAGTTCTCCTAATTCAAAAATCTGAAATGAAATGCTCCAATGAGCTTTCTCTGCAGTATCATGTCAGCATTCAATTCAGATATTAAGCCAGTGTTGGTAGCATATGTTCTTTAGTTCTTCAGCTACCGGGAGGCTGAGGCAGGAGGATCCACTTCGATCCCAAGAGTCAAGGGTGCAGTGCTACTGATTATGCACTGCACTCCGTTGGGGCAACAAAGGCAAGACGTCGCTAAATAAACAAATAAATCACAAATTATTAAAGAAAAAGTTTCGTTATTGGAGCTCTGGAACTTCAGGTTTTATAGGATGAACGATATCTCAACACTCTAACAAATGTACATGTATGAAAACTACTTTTTCATGTTATTATCAAGATAAGTTGTTCGATAGAACTATGTATCATCATTCAGGACACAATTTGAATACAGGTCAATCTATTTCAATTAGATTCTAATGTGTAAAACTTTGAAAATTATGATAGCCCATAAACTACAATGCTTTAACCAATGCTTTAACCTTAGTGGTGGACACTAGATCACACAGGGCTGTGGAGATCCAAGAGTCTAGCATAGGAGCAAATATATGGTAAAGTCATCGTGTGAAGATTCTATACCAGAAATAGTGGATGTACCTTGTCAATATCAGTCTCCTGGGTCCCATTTACACATGTACATAGTCAATGTTGGTAATTAGACTGTGGAACACTTGTTGATTAAACAAAAAAAAGGTGCAATCTAAAGGACTTCCCACATTTTAGAATCTACTATAGTATCTGGAATTTATGATATGATATTATTTGTAATACGAATATAATGCTTTTAAGTAAATAGTCTTATGCCAATAAAAATAAAATTTATGTAACTGTTTTAAAAAATTAATTCTCCGGCTGGGCGGGTGGCTCACGCTGTAAGTCCTAGCAGCTCGGGACGCGAGGCGCGATGCTTCAAGTCAGGAGTTCGAACCAGCCTGAGCAAGAGCGAGACTCCGTCTCTACTATAAATAGAAAGAAATTAATTGGCCAACTAATATATATATAAAATTAGCCGGACATGGTGATGCATGCCTGTAGTCCCAGCTACTCGGGAGGCTGAGGCAGAAGGATTGCTTGAGCCCAGGAGTTTGAGGTTGCTGTGAGCTAGGCTGACGCCACGGCACTCACTCTAGCCTGGTCAACAAGCGAGACTCTGTCTCAAAAAAAAAAAAAAAATTAAATCTAGTCAAAAAAAACCCAGAATTCTTTTATGATGATTTCACTAACTTCTGTATCTTTATGAATTCTTTATTAAAGAGAAAAACCCCACATCCATTAATTTCTCAACGTGTACATGGTTGACACCATGAATAAGAGAGCCTTTATTCTTCTTTACTACTCTAAATATTAATTCAAAAGACACAACTGGATCAGTGTTCACTGTATATCTGGATTTGAGAATTTATTGGTTTTTTTTGTTTATTTGTTTTGAGACAGAATCTCACTCTCTTGCCCAGGCTAGAGTGCCATGGTGTCAGCCTAGTTCACAGCAACCTCAAGCTCTTGGGCTTAAGTGATCCTCCTGCCTCAGCCTCCCAGGTAGCTGGGACTACAGGCACGTGCCACTATGCCAGCTAATTTTTTCTAGTTTTAGTAGAGTCGAGTCTTACTCTTGCTCAGCTGGTCTCGAACTCCTGAGCTCAAGCAATCCACCTGCATCAGCCTCCCAGAGTGCAGGATTACAGGTGTGAGCCACTATGCCCAGCTGGAATTTATTGTTTTTCTAAAAACATAGCTAGGAATCTGTGCATAGAAATGAACAGGTCTCCTAGAAAGACTTTTGTCCATTAAAATAACATAGATACATTTTAGGACCAAACTTCTACAATCTTATTGCTGTGGGCTGTGTAAGAAATGTGAGATTTAGCTCAAAACTAAGGAGGAAAATTACAATTAAGAATAGATTCCTGGCTGTGCGTGGTGGCTCACACCTATAATCCTAGCACTCTGGGAGGCTGAGGTGGGTGAGTGGATTGCTCAAGGTCAGGAGTTTGAAACCAGCCTGAGCAAGAGTGAGACCCCGTCTCTACTATAAATAGAAAGAAACTAATTGGCCAACTAATATATAGAGAAAAAATTAGCTGGGCATGGTGGCACATGCCTGTAGTCCCAGCTACTTGGGAGTGTGATGCAGCAGGATTGCTTGAGCCCAGGAGTTTGAGGTTGCTGTGAGCTAGGCTGATGCCATGGCACTCACTCTAGCTTGGGCAACAAAGTGAGACTCTGTCTTCCAAAAAAAAAAAAAAGAATAGATTCCTCCAAGAAACTTACTTTGGTTCTTTTTATATGGTTGCTGAGTGGGCGTGATTGCTTTGGTTCTGGAGAGTCTGGGGGAGACGGATCCCCACCCGGGAGCTCTGGAGGGAGAGGAAGGTCTGTAAGTAAATGACGTGTCCTCTGTTCCTTCTCTTTCTTATCGTGTTTGAAGGAAGAGTTTCTTTTGGACTAAACAAAAGAGGGAAAGATAAGAAAAAGATTACAGTGACTTAAAGGATATGCAAATAAAACTTTTCAAATAACATTATAACGTCTGGCCATTAAAAGATTATAGTTATTTTACTTTTAAGGAAAAAACCTGTAATATAACATAAGGAAATAGAATTTATCACAGCTAAAGATACTTAAATCTTACAAAAAAGAAATCTATAGCATATTAAAGAAACAATGAAAAATCTGTGATTTTACCTGTAGACTCTTTACAAACTCTGTAACGTGACCTACGTAGCTGGTCCACTGCATTCTTCCTAAGCCGCGCGCAAT